ATATTGAATATTATAAAGTTCATTTGTAGCCATCTCCATACTGAATTAAATTTGTGCATTTATTTTTTTTAGGTTTGTGACATCATCTTGAGCCATTCACAAGCATCTGAGGCCGCTGTGGGTGACCTTTGGGACTGGAGCTGAAAAAGAACCTGTCTGTGATAGAAACACGGTGAGCTAATATTTTCATTAGCACCTTATGCTAAAAGCTACGGCTATTTTCGGCCCACCACACACTGAAATTCTAATTGTTAGACGCTCGCCTGGTCACTTCTGCGGTTGTTGATTTTAGCCGAGGTAGATTTTGGGAGCGTTTTATTCCAAATCGAGTCAAAACAGGGAGCCTAGCTTTCTGTTTTGAAGTAGCCAAGAGGACATTGTTCATCTTGGTGAGTGTAGGCAGTTTAGATATGCTTAAACTGCTGAGGGAAAATGCAATTTTCCATTTTTGTTTCTGTTTAGGAGACACAGTAGGCTAAAAGTCATTTTAAAAGGCGGCCGCCCGACTTTCGTTATAAGAAAGTTGTTTACGGTAGTGCACCGCGCACGAGTTCGGCCAAMGAATGCGACCAGCGGGTTTTTGAGCACATACGATGGTAAATAAATACGGCACTGGAAGCCGTGAAAGTGTCTGCGGGTAGGGAGTTTGATAAATTAGCTTTCCCGGGACGGTGGCAGTTTCAGTCTTAAAACAGCTCAGCCGCCTCCGTGATCGCTTACTGGAACATGAATCAAAGCTTAAATCAAGAAGAATGACAAAAGGTTGTGTTGAAACATTTTTAATAACAGGTTTTAGTCTCTCTGTTTTCCGAGCTATTAAATGGAGCGGATTGGGGGTTTTACTGTTTCGGCTCCGCAGTGTCACCACTTGTGGGTGCGGCCGGACGGGTGACCAGGGCCCGGTCCTTCCGCCCCCCCTGCCGTGAACAGTGTGTTGAAAATAAGGTGTGTGTGTTGTGTGTGTGTGTGTGTGTGTGTGGGGGGGGGGGGGCACAGGGACGACAGATTACCCGTTTTCTCCAGCAACCAAAACCCACTAAAAAACATTTGTTTTATAACTGACTCTCAAGTTTTAAGAGAATTTACAAAAAACAAACAAACAAGCAAACACCATTGTTGTGTTTTGAGTTGTAATTAATGAAAAAAAMAACAACAACATTAGAATGCTAGAGGCAAATGTATTTTATTTAAGGCACAGAGTTTATGATACTCTTAATTAATGAAACTGTTTTTCATGTGGTGAAATGTCCCTGAGGACTAATGGTTAAAATGGAATTTGCTGAACTCGTGTTTTTATTTTTGTTTGCTTGTTTCTGTTACAAATGACTGAGGCAATATAAAAAAGTGGAAATTTGTTCAATTGCCTGAAGCAAGGGGAGAGTTCTCTTTTGTTTTATCTTAAAATATAAGATACAGAGAAGTAAAAAAATGTAATAAAACATTCCAACTTGAAATAGAATGCGTGGCTTGTTTACATGCCATTAAACAAATAAAAGTATTTCAAACAGACCGAACAAAAAGTGATTTTTGGTTGCCTAACTGAGGGTGTTTTATGAAGATTTTGTTGAAACAACATCAACAGGCATCTTTGAAAAAAAAAAGGGTTTAAAATGCCTGACATTATCTGCATGCTGTTGAGTAAATAGAGAAAACTGTATCGGTAATTTTTGTGTGTTTGGTTTTTATGTAACTGGGGAGTTGGTTCCTGGTGACCCTCTGCTCTTCCAGCGTCCACTCCAACCCTGAGACCTGGGCCAGACCGATGATGGAGAGCGATGCTGAGACCAGAAGACCGTATAAAGGCCAGCGCTCAGAAGATCATCCACAGCCCAGCACCATGAAGGCGAGATAACGTTGTCATTTCTGCCTGTTTGCCTAAAACCTCACCACCCCCCACCCCACAACAATTTTCAACATGCAACAGCAGCGAAGACCTTGCAATCCGCGTGACTGATATCTTCCCAGCACTGTGGAGAAGACTGAGAAAGTTGCCGTTATGAAACAAAGCTTCAAAGTCTGACAGTCATAGAGCCCAGCACCTGTTGCCACTCTACGGGGCTACCATCACCCCATCGTCAGATCAATCAGCCTGACGCTACAACAGACTGATTTTGCTGTTCTTGACAAGCTGTGTGACAAATGGCAGCATCAACATAAGACCTGCAAAACAAYGGCATAAGTGACCGTCACAAGACTGCTGTGGAATGGACAAGAGAGTGGGGGGGGGGAGCTCTCTGAGAAGGCTTCACAGCATCATCGCCTCAATCTATGCTAACGAGCACATCTGTGGATGGCCAGGGGGAGTTTTGGGTCCAAGTCGACCAGGGACAAAGTGATGACCATGACCAGGCCTGTTTCTGGTGGGAAGAGTGGGCACGGATAGAGTCAGACGGCCAGCCAGCCCCTCTCCCCCATAGAGAAAGATGAGTAAACTCACACACATGCTCCATGTGTTCTGTAAAAGAAACTTTTTTCTTTCATTTTTTATTGTATGAATAGTAAAAGATACGGAAAAAAAGAAACAAGACAATAACTGATCTGAAATATGAACTTTGACAAGTAAATGTTGAACAAAATATCTGGCATTTTAATGACATTTCCATGACATGACTGAATATGTTACGTTCCTTTAATAGTTATGAGTGTGCATGCATGTAGCAGAACAAAACTCTTCTGGATCAGCTGAAAGTACACATGGAGTGTTTGTGTTACTCACAGGCGAGGTAGGACTTCAGGCTCCCTTTGCTCATGAGTTCAGTGACAATGTAGACTGGCTCTCCTCTGGAGCACATGGCTAACAGCTGGATCAGCTTGGGGTGATGAAGGCTCTTGAGCGCCTGAACCTCCTTTACAAACTCGTCTTGCTTTGTATCCTCTGAAGGAACACGAGAAAACAAAGGAAACCTGGTTACTTTCTGAAAAACTTTATTCACTAGATAAACACATAAAGAACCTGGTTTCCACTTGCTATTTTCAGCTCTGTAATATCTCAAAACTCTGACCCCTGCTGTCCACTTCAGACTTGGAAATGATAATTCATGCCTTCATTTCTACCTGCTTAGACTATTGTAACAGCTTGTTCACCTGTCTTAACCAGAAACAGTTAAATCGTCTTCAGCTTGTCCAAAACTCGGCAGCAAGACTCCTAACCCGAACCTCTAAATTCACCCATATCTCCCCGATCCTAGCAGAACTTCACTGGCTTCCTGTTCAATTCAGAATCCGGTTCAAAATCCTGGTCCTCACCTTCAGAGCTCTTCATGACCAAGCCCCAGAATACATTAAAAGTCTCATTTCCCCTTACAACCCCAGACGGGACCTCCGCTCACAGGATCAGCATCTCCTAATGGTTCCCCTCACTCGCTTTAAGACCCGTGGTGACCGGTCCTTCTCCTCTGTGGCCCCCAGGCTCTGGAATGAACTCCCTGTTAATCTGCGCTCCATTGATAACATTGTCTCTTTCAAGAATCAACTGAAAACACACTTTTTTACTCAAGCT